TTTCCACTTAAACCTTTTGCAATTAAAGAAATGGATAGTAATTTTGACAAAATGTTCACTTACCTGAGATGATGACATAATGTAAACACATAAATATTAAGATATATATAATTGTATAATAAAAAATATAAATTATCAATTAAAATAATAGTTTGAGGTAAATTGTGATAAATGTATACATGTAGAGCTGTAGTGCATATATATAAACTATGTGTTTATGAGTGCCTTCTGAAAGCTGTTTGTTTTCATGCTCTTGGAGTTTTTCATTCTTACATTTTGAATAACAATACATGTGTGTTTTCTTTGAAAGCCTCTTATGTTTTCTCTTACATTTTTTTCTTTTTCTTTTCCCTTTCTCAAGGGAGAGAAAAATAGAGAGCAGTCAGCAGTCCAACTTATGTAGTTTTTCAATGTCTTCTCCATGCACATCTGTCTGATAGACAGGAAAGAAGTGTGTTGAGTTTGATGCATGGTATTTCTCTCAACACTCTTCCGCTCATGAATATATTCATGATGCTGCAAGGTACTGGTGTGAAGTGTTGGGAGCAGGTGTATGTGTGCACTTGTGTTGCTGGGAAAACGGAGTGTGAAAGGGGTGAGAGACAAGCCGTTTGCACAGCACCAAAACAAACAAGCCTTTTGTTCATAAAATGATACCATATGCTCCACCTTTTCAAAAAAGGCACTTGTTCATCAGGATGCATGTGAGTTTTGGAAAACTAATAATTTAGATAGACCTTAGCCTGAGTAATATTTCAGTTTTAGTGGTGATTAAACAGAAGCCCAGTCTTTGACTCCAGTAGCTGAGCTTTCTGCACTTTTATACCTCTGGGGCGTACAGCAAAGTACATTTGATTTGAGCTAGCAGAACTGCAGCTCAAGCTAAACTAAGTATTTTTATACTTAGGAATGACATAAATTACATGCAAACATATTTGGTTGGAAGAAAATTGTGTGGTTCATTGATGGAGCATGTGACTGTCAATATCCTGAATGTTCTAAATTTTACATGCATGTGCTAGCTTTTGGTGCAACTTATCTTACCCGTAGTTCCCACAGGAAAATGCTATTTCTCAGAGGTTGCTCTTTCATAGTTATGGAGACTGGAGGGAGTCGGAAATGTTAGGAACAGTCTCAGATGTGTCTCCTAATTTGCTTAGGAGAAGTAAACGAATCAGTTGTTGACATAGAGTCTATAAAATTTGAGTAAATCTCAGGTAAATTTGTCTTGAACTAAATGGGAGAAAAAAAGGTTTTATTGAAATCACAGACTTTGGTATCTTGGCAAATCTGGGCATATTTTGCGACGTCTCTTTTGAAACTCTGAAAGATACACTTGAGATCGCAGGGGTCTCAGAAAAATCTAGTAAGGTGGAAATTTAAGTGAGTCTCCATTTAATCTCTTTGCTGTAAAGAACTTCACAAGTAGTTAAACAAGACTATCGTCTCAGGTTACTTATGTAACCATGGTTCCCTGAGTAGGGAACGAGACACTGCGTCCTCTAGGGGTCGCTATGGGGAATGCCTCGTCGTGACCCGTGTCTGAAGCATACATTGAAAAAACACCAGCTCGCTTCAAACAAAACAGTCAATGAAGACGAAGAAGAGAATGATGTGTGCTCCCGGCGCCTATTTATACTATAGTCGCATACTATAGTGATGTCATGGCAGTCGCCGGCCAACGAGTTGGTGTTTTTTCAATGTATGCTTCAGACACGGGTCACGACGAGGCGTTCCCCATAGCGACCCCTAGAGGACGCAGTTCGAAGTTCCCATGGAAGGGAACATAAGATTAGCTAGGGGTGCTCTGATTGATCGGCTAAGGATCGCTATCGGCCGATGATCGCTTTGGGAAGTTTGATTGGCGGTCTCTATAAAGGCAGATCTTATAAAGCGAACTCAATCTGACGATGTGCCTGCCGTGAGAGGTTTGGCATGACATGCAGCGGCACGGTCTCAATCTCTGTCCGGCATGGGTAAAATAATTATAATGCTGAAGGTGAGGTACAATTCATATTTCTTTATTAAATAACTTACAAAGTAATTTGAAAACTTTCTGTGAGACGTAATTTCACAAACTGTGAGTGAATCACCGTTCGCTCTCTCTCTTTACCTCTCAAAATGCGCAAATGGCTTCAAATCACCACATTGCGTCTGCACTATAAGCGAGCTGCACACTGCACAGTTGACACAGGAATTGTCACTTGCATTATCCAGGCAATGTTGCATAGTCACTAAAGTTAATAATTTGCATTTCTTTTTAAGTCTTGCCAGTGTTTAAACCATTCAGCACTCACGCTCGTGCACACTCAAAGCGTGCACACAAGGCCGCCTCACATCACTTTAAAAAATGATTCAGAGGACCTGTTACCACAACTTAAATAAATGCATGGTTGCAAGTTAAAAATGGCAAGTTATATGTTATTTTATGTGTTTTTTTTAGTGAAGGGAAAGACTTAATGCTTAATGCTGTTATGTTTGACATTTAAAAGAGTTTCTGTTATGTTGAAGTTTTTATGGTTACCATTGTGCTGAAGAGTAGACCAGAAGAAGGTAAACACTACATTGACTCTATTTGCAATGACTGTGCTAATGCCAGTGACAAGTAACATCATACTTGTGTAGCGAATCAGCTCATGGGGAAATATGAATAATTAGTGCCCAGTCTATTGGGTGAGGGGTCTGTGACGACTTGTTAATCTAATGAATAACTGATTTGTTAAATCAAATGAAAAATTGTGTTTTTGATCGGTGCAGACGCTACACTTGTTCATTATACATGCTAAATAAGTTGTGTGTGCTATGATAGCTGTGGATTTGAACTGAAAAATTATAGTATAAATTGGTGGCAGGAAAATTACATGAAATCCACCCGGAAATCTCAAACAGATTTTTAATTTGACCTAAAACCAGATTTGTTCATGTGGTCTTTACCAGATGTCATATAGGTCATTCAAGACTGACTCCATTTTACCCCCCTTTCTATGAAACATTCATTTGGACTGTCCCGGTTTTAATGCAAGTAGAAAGCTCTTTTATGAAGTTAGTTCACTTAAGGACTTATTTAGTAAGATTTTGCCTGAAAAGGTTTTAGAATTTGTATATGTTAATTTAAAAAATCTTGTATAATATTACTTGCTGTGCTTGTTTGTTTGCTTGTTTTTTTTATTTTATTTATGTGATATTTGTATTTTTGTAATGAGTTTTTGCTATGAAAATAGCCTCAGATGCTGACATGGCATTAAATAAAATTATACTACTACTACTATTGGTTCCAGGTCAACAATTCCATTAGTTGGAGCAACTGAACTTTTTTGAGTAATTAACTTAAAAATGTGTTTATGTTACAAATTATTAAGTTCTTCTATATCAATGTAGTTTGTTGGTTGAACATAATATCATTAGAAGTTGTCATAACTCAAAAACATTGATGCAAACTGTTGCGTATTTATTTTTTGTACAGCTCACGAAATCAGGCTTGTGCTGTGTGTGTTTTTGAAAAATGTCTAAAAATTGCGTTTTTAGTCACCTAAGAGGAATTCCCGCCCATTTTCAAAAATGATGTAGTAAATCAGCTCAAAAGGGAAATATTTATGACTAATTATATGGTTCTTGAGTTCTCTTAGAAGTGAGCTGGAAGTTTTTTTTGTCTTCTTCTGAAGATAGGAAAGTCCACAGCGGATCGAAGTTACTTGAAGATAAAAACATCAAAAAAAAAAAAAGAGTCTTGAGAAGTCTAGCCTGTTGTAGTTTGCTGGTCAGCCAGGCCCATCGGTGCCTGGCCCCGGGGGTAATTTACATCTCTTTGGAAACTGTTTGAAGTTAGTTGGGGAGATAATAGTGGTAGACTGCTTAGCATCTCCTTGATAGTGGGGAGAATTATTTGGCAATTTAGCACCTATATAAATGCATGATCTGTGGCCAGGACTGTAATTTATATGCAAATGTCAAAGGCTAAAAGGGGTCTCTTAAAAACCCCAAAGACCATCCATGATTTTACGCAGACGCTACAATGAAATTCAGGCCCTGAATGTATGTCTGTAAAAATCCTGATTGGAACATCACTATAAATAATTCTACATGATAAAAAGAAGGCTTCAAAAATATCAGTATCAGTGATTGTATCGGCAGATACTGCTTCCAGTGATCACGATCGGTGATCAGCTCCAAAAATCCTGATTGGAGCACCCTTAAGATTAACTGATTTTCAAGCAGCTTTGTATTGTAGTAAAGTAATTGAACAATGTGTATGATTTTTCTGTGTTACCGGCACCAAGATAACCTTGTTTATTTGTCAGCTCAAGTCCCTGCTCATGGAAAGTCTGATTGAGTTTTCCTACCTTTTTTCACCACAACTCATTTTCTCTATATATGCAGTTTCTACTGCATAAACTTTTATTAAAACCCCATCTTGCCAGCTGTGAATTACCCCTTTAATACAGAGCCTCCAACATTCCCATTTCAGTTAAGTCCATGCATAACTGCAGAGGTCCATCTTTCTACTTCACATTACCTTCCCACTATTTTATAGAACTGAATGGTTTGATATTCCAAAATAAACCTTCAAGGGCATGAGTTCCAGTGTGTCTAATCCATTGTGCACTTGTATGAGGTTGCTCAATATTCGTTTTGCAGCAATATACTATGTCTTGCAGTGAATTTTGAGCAGCCAAACCATTTAAAGTATGATGAATGAGAATCCTTATTATACAGGCTGCTGGATCAAGATTTAGTGTTGATCCAAATATTTAAACAATTTCTCTGATGGCATCAGACAAAAAGAACCAAATATGACACTGGAGAATAGAATAAAATATATGTCGTTTTGAATTACTCTTATAAATTCAGATAAGAAACATAATTAAGTTGAGAAATCATATAACAGAGACATATGAGGCTTTTGTGGGTGAAGTGTTTTTGAGTATGGGTGCAGTTCTATTATGAATTTGATATATTCCAAATAATAACAAATTTACTCTCTCTTCATTCCTCTTTTGTAGGATAACGTTCTGCCATCTGCCCTTCCAAAGTAAATGGCTGTACATCGGCACGGAAAGAGGAAACATCCACCTTGTAAATGTGGAGTCCTTTACCCTCTCAGGATATACCATCATGTGGAACAAAGCCATTGAACTGTGAGTGCCACGCACACACATTTGAAATGAAATGTAATCTCACAGAGTCCTGAGATCTGATTTGCAATATATCATATATGTCACATCTGTCATTGTTCCTGTCGCCTTGTTATGTTTTATTTGTAACTAAGCAATCCTTTCAATCAAATGCCATTCTAAATTGTCAATTTACCTGCTCTCCCTCCATCACTCTTCTCCATAGGTACCATGAGTTCTTCAATTATTCATTCTAACATTTTGTCAGCAGTTTTGTTTTCCTCCCTGACCCGTTGAAAAGGCTACAGTGCCTTTGAGACCCAGACAGTGTAGACACGCACGCACGCACACACACATACGCGTTTACAGGTGTCAGATCGGATCAGTGTTAGTATAGACAGATGTTCTGTCTTGCCTCTTGCTTTAGTACTTGCGCACTCGAACACTCGCAGACAGACACATTGTGTCCCTTGCGACAGGAAGGGCAGTTGTTGAAAGAGTCACTCCGCCCTTTGCTGTTATACCTGTAGTGACAGACTAAATAGGCAAGTCAACGTGGCTTTACTCTCATGTCATTGAGCAGGGCATTTTCTCCATTGTTTCTCTCACACACAAACGCACAAATCTGCATATACTGTATGTCATACATTACATATGTGACCCTGGAGCACAAAACCAGTCATAAGTCGCACGGCTATATTTGTAGCAATAGCCAACAATACACTGCAGGAGATCAAATAAATATTTCCCCCACTGTATATATATATATATATATATATATATATATATATATACAGTGGAGATCAAAAATAGAGAACAATCTATAAATACTTTATTTTTTCTGAAATATTCATTTTCATCGCTCAAAATTTAAGGGGAATATTAGCTGTGGGTATACCACTGCTTTACTAACATGTTTGACAAAATTTTACTGTGTGGAAAACAGTGATTGGAATTAGAAAACAGTAGCCACTGTAGCAATAAAGTAGATTATAACTAAAATTTTGTAGGGTTACAGCTGTCAAAAAATAGTAGGAAGTGTAGAGGCCCTTGCTTTGAATGACTTCGATGCATTGCTAAGACTTAATTTGGAAAACTTTAAAGGTGATTTTCTCAATATTTTGATTTTTTTGCGCCCTTAGATTCCAGATTTTCAAATAGTTGTATCTCGGCTAAATATTGTCCTATCCTAATAAACCATACATCAATGGAAAGCATATTTATTCAACTTTCAGGTGGTGTATAAACATATGTCCATAACAAACAATTAGCATAAATCACAAAGTAATGCTATTACAAAGGAAGATTATTATTGTGCATGTATTGAATAAAATGTAAAGGCACTAAAATAAAGTATGAAATAAATAAATATATATATATTTTATATATTTAGATATTTCAATACATTTTTCAGCAATGGTCAGTTTTGTTTTCCCTTAATTTTCAAAATAATAAATATATGTCTAAATACAATTTAACACCAATATTTTAGCAATATATATTATTAGAATAAACATTAAATAAATATAACATAAAAAGAGACACCACTTTCCACCACAGAAAATAAAATAAATAATGTATTTGTCTATATATAAAAATATAAAATATGTTTCCCATAAATTGAAGGTCAATACTTGTTTGATAATTTTTTATTACAATATATATATATATATAAAACACAGTGATCAGAATTAGAGAACAGTAACCACTGTAGCACGAAAGAAGATTACAACTAAAAGTTTGGAGGGTTACAGCTGTAAAAAATTAGTAGGAATTGTAGAGGCCTTTGCTTTGAATGACTCCAGCACACCTGCGGCTGCAGGATATCACTAGTTTCTCAGACTGTGCTGGTGTGATTTTGGTCCACTCTTCTTCCAGTCTCTTCCATAGTTCAGTAACTGTAGTGGGTTTCTTAGCCATAATTTTGTCGCCAAGGATTTTCCAGAGATTTTCAATTGGGTTTAGATCAGGACTCTGGGCCGGCCATTTCATTACTTCAGTGTTCTTAGCTTCAAGGAACTGCTTTACCTGTTTTGTAGTGTGACGGTGACATTGTCTTGCATGAAAATTGCAGGCTGATTGGGAGATATATATTATATAATAAATTATTTTCCATAAACACACTCTCAGAATTTACTTCACAGTAGTTGATACACCACAGCAGCTAACCAAGATGGTCTGTGCCTGTTTGAAAGAAAGAAATCTGGCATGCCACTCTGCTGTAGGCATGATAACATAGTGGTGGGTGATGTGGGCATGATGCCAGGCATTGAGAAAAACAGTTTGTTGCTGCAGGTGTCAGTAGCACAGAGTTGCATTATAGTACAGGGGCATGGAGGTTAGCACTTTGATTGTGTGGGCTGTCGGGGGATTAAGGGTGGGCATAAAGGAGTGTGTGATCACACATTGACAAGGGGACATCGAGGCATGTTAGAGGGGATTATGATAGCAGGTGGTTTAATTTTTAAGCTGTTCCCAGGTGCACAGACTGGGCACAAGGAAACACCAACGTGCCCTCTGGACAAACCAGATTGTCTCTGTGTTTCAACTAGTCTGTGCATGTCTTTTTGTCTGACAGTGCTCTGTCATAAATACTGATCTCCGCCAACAGAGACACTGATGTGTGGATCTCTCCTTGGCTAAGGTTAAGCAGACAGCAATAGGTCTTGAGGCATGCTGGGATTGTATACATACGCGTACTGTCATTAAAACAGTATATAGAGGATACCTTTATGATATTTATATAGAGTCTATTAACTGTCTGACATCCATTTCAGAGACTCGATTTACACGACAGGTGTTACTGCTTAAAGCAAATGGATGCACTCGCTTAAAGTGTGAGCAAATTGCATCTTGGATTCCGCACGTGTACACGGATACTGTGCTGTGTTGCTCTTTCCCTGTGGTTTTTCCTAATGACAGGAAATTAAACTTCAAGTCAACATGCGCTCCTCACAATCAGAGAGAAAGCGTGAGAATAAGAGGTACGTGCATATAGTGTGATAATTATTTTGGACCTGGAAAAAGGATTGTAGGTAGGGAGGTGAAATTATGTAATCATAAGGTGCCTTGAGTAAATGAGACAGTGCAGAGTGAGGGCGGCAGTTACAGAATGAGATTTTGCCCATCCTATTCTTGTTACCATGGTGATCAGCTCTCTAAAACCAGCCTGCTTCTCCTAAAGTAAGGGTTGAGGGATAGGAGGGAACTGGGGAGAATTCAATTAGGATCTCAAGGTCTGAGGAATGGAGTAGTTAACAATCCGTCACTCTATCAACACGTTTGCAACCTTGACCTCTGTGTGTAGGTGCAACTGCTCCCTCCTTCCCTTTCTTTCTCTCCCGCTCCCTCTCTCTTTTAACTAAACAGGGCTCAGTTTGTGCCAAATGTAGTTGTTGACCTCATGAACTGAGTTTGGTTGCTGTGCCGGGTGAGAGTAGGTTCATTTCTTGATGAAATATAGTACATTACACTTTTCTTCTCAACTAGAATACTGAACATTTGATCATATCAGACAGAAAAGATGAATATTACTACTTACAAATGAGGGTTTAGATAAGATTTTTTTTTTAATCTGTCAAAATTCTGTTTTATATCTATGTGGTGAAATTAGGACCTCAAATGAGCATTGTGGTTACATATTATTTTAAATAATTATGTGTATTTTTAGGGCTGTCAGGATTGTTTAAATAATGCAATAAAATGAAAGAGATTACAAGGAACAAGGAATTCAAATTTGAAGTGAAGTACCTCCATTTTTTGTGAACGTGTCCTGTGTGAACTTTGTCTTTTTTTAAATTGAAAACATTATTCTGCTACAATAATGCATATGATTTATCTTTGAGAATTTCTCAGCAAATATCGATACAAAATATGATAGTCAATTTGTCATTAGAATATGATCATCTACATATCACAGAATTAATTTAAATGAATTAATATTATGTGCTTTTAATGTTTCAGTGTTTAATGTTTTAATCACATCCTTTTAATGGTTGCTCCAATAAATGTTAGTAAAATAGTAAAATTCTTTACTATTATTACTTACTAATTTAAGCTAAAATCTAATTTTTTAGATTAATTAAAGATTAATTAAAGTTAATTGAGTCATCATAAAATTAAAATTCATGAAAAATCGATATTCATTTTGAGATTTGCTAAAAATGACATTTTAACAATGTATTAAAAAACTTATATGTGAAAACGCCCTTAAAGTCTGCATGAAACAGAAGTTGTGATAGTCTTTTCTTCACTATTGTGATTATATCAGAGTGAAATGGCCTCTCAAACAAGAAAAAAAAAAATGCAGGGCGGGACTGGATTTTATCCGTAGGGAATTGATTAAATTGTTGGATCGTTGTTGTTTGCTATTCTTTTGGTTAAAGATTAAAGGGGCACATAAATTAAATAAAAAATATGCACTGATAAATCATTTAATAAACACTGCAATATTTTCATCACACTCCTTATTCCACCATGGTACCATTTTTGTCTCTCTTCTTCCTTTACTCTTAGGAATATTACTTACTGCTGCATTTTTCATGACCCCTATAATTTTCTCACTTATAGCTTCTATGTCATCTCCATTTCTTACTTCATTTATGTCTAAACCCTCCTCCACCATTTCCACATACTCAGTCCAGTTAGCTTTCTCATATTTCCATCTCCCTTCTCTTCTCTCATTTCTTTCTACACAATTATTCATACACATTTCAATCAAAATTGGAAAATGATCACTGCACTGTTAAAAATTTCCTGTAGAAATTACAGTAACTTACTGGCAGCAGTTCGCCAGTAACTTACTGTAAATTAAACTTACAGTAAAAGTACTGTATTCATAATTACAGTACCATTTAACTTGCTGTAAATGTATTTACAGTATGTATACTGTACTTTTAGTTTTTACTGTAAAATATACAGTGATTTTATGGTCTTTTCTTCAGTAACGTACTGAAATACAAGAAAAATAATAATTTAATTATTTTATGAAAATAAGCAATGACAACTGTGTAACTTTTCATTTT